GATCTGTGACGGCATTCCCAAACAATCCATCAGTGGGAGAAATTCTTCATGAGTGGAAATCAGAATCAGATTAATTTAATAATCCCTGAAGAAATTATGTGAATGCTCAAGACAGCTGTCAATCTTTCCCCAGCAAACTCAACCCAAAGGCAGACGCTGCAGGGCTCAGAGGAGCTCAGAGAAACTGTGGGACAGAGCGCAGCATGACTGAACAGAGTGAACAAGTATGGCTGCTGGGAAAAGCCTCCTCTCTACATCAGCAGCACTTAGATTTGCAAATCTGGGATTTTCTTTCCTCTGTTGCAGCGAGTTTCTCGTCTCAGGCTGATAAATCAGTGTGTGTGTGTGTCTGTGCGTGTGTCTTTGATGGAAACAATTTGGACAGGTGGCTCGAGCCACCTGCTAACCAGAGGGTTTGTGGGTCGATACCCGGCTTCCAAAGTGTCCTTGGGCCAAACACTGAAGCCTACGTTGCTTCTGATGCGTCTGCTGCACACTAACGCACAGGAGCACAAAAGAAGTGAATGTGTGTGACTTTCTATAAAGTGATCTGGATGGAAATAAGAACAGTGGTATATTTAATGAAGGACTTGTTTTTTTCTTAGCAGCGCATTAATGTTACTGTGCAAATATTAATGAATGAGCTCCACCGTGCTCTGAGCAGACACGGCCAAAGTGGAGATGTCTGGTGAAGACCTAACACAGAATGTGTTTATGGAGGGCCGAATCACAACAACCATCACCTCACGCTGCTTTATACTGTGAGCTAACCCAACAATAATACACAGGAAGTCCCAGCAATCAGACAACCTCTATTAGCAAGCATTTGGCAAAAGTGGGAAGGAAAAACTCCTTTTAACAGGAAGAACCCTCCAGCAGAATCAGGGAGGGGCGGGGCCATCTGCCACGACTGGTTAGGGGTGTGGGGAGGAAGACCGAGCAAAACACAAACTGTGGAAGAGAGTAACTAAAGTAATAACTAATGATTAAATGCAGAGTGGTGTATAAACCCAGTGATTGAAGAAGAAACTCCCAGTGCATCATGGGAAGCCCCCAACAGCCTGGGCCTATTGCAGCATAGCCAAGGGAGGGTTCAGGGTCACCTGATCCAGCCGTCACTACAAGGTTTATCAAAAGGTTTTCAGACTTTCTGACTCGAAGGCTTTAAGATGAAAATGTATCCTACCCCTTCTAATAATGCTCTAACAGATACGATGACGTAATCACTGAAGATACCTCAGAAAAATCAACCAGAAATAAAGAGTGAGTAGCTGTACTTACAGACACATCTGTGGGCTGGTTATGAATCATTTATCTTTCATGATTAAAATGTTATTTGTGAAGAAATTCATTAAGTAATTGCTCGTCAAGAATACAGTAACACTGGGCTCAACAGAGCTCTGACTCTTTTTATAGAGCAACATGAAGCCAGTCTGTTAGTAACACGCTGGTTTGTCCAGGAAACCTCACTGACACACAAAGGTCATTATTAACACATCTATAAATGATTGAGTCTCACCTTTAGATCATAGAGCTGTTCGCTCAAGTCCTCCTTCTTGCTGACACTGGAGAAGGACCGAAGTGCTCCTGTGAGTCGAGGAGGAGACATCGTGTCTGTTTCCCTCCCCACACACCTGCTGTCCTGGATCTAGGTTCTTCTGGATCTAGGTTCTTCTGGATCTATGGTTCTCCTGGATCTATGGTTCTCCTGGATCTATGGTTCTCCTGGATCTATGGTTCTTCTGGATCTATGGTTCTCCTGGAACCTGCGGACATACAAACACAACAGTAAGATGAACCTTCAGTGTTTCTACGTCCACAGCAACTCCAAATACAAAGCAGCCAAAGGGCTTTGGACCTATGTGTGGCGACACAACAGCCACTGATGTCGTGAAGCAAACGTCCGTGTACAGTGGTCGGTGTGGTCACGGTACCCGTGAACAGGCTGGCTGTGTTAGTGGGAGAGTGAATGAGACACTTGGGACGAAATGATCTGGAAAGTAAAAACTTCTTGGTGAACTGACTGGTTTGGTTTATAGTATCTACAGATTCATGTTGTCTCCGGAAACTTAAAAGGTCCCGGATTACAGGAAGTCAGGTGGCTAACACAAACATGTCCAACAGGAGAGTAATGCACGCGCCTTAGTGAACGTGCCATAGCTGACTTTTATAAGTTCTCGCGCGACTATTACACACAAAGCTAACGTTAAGCATGCGCGTTGCTAGCTGGCTGTCATGCTGCCTGCTACATCTCTTTAAAACTCACTTTTAACACTGTCGTCACTGTTAGCGCAACAGCAACTGCGACAGATGAGTCTGTGAACCATTCACGACGTGAAACTTACGCTTCAACTGCTTCCTAAAGCGCCACGTACAAATCCAACAGTCGGTGTGTGAGTACGCTACCGGCAGATGTCAACACAAGGTGCGTGTGAACGAGGGATTGTGGGTATTGTAGTTTAGACGTCCAGCGGCTGTATAGAGGGCGTGGATAAAATGACTACATTA